CGTTGTCTGTATTGATATAATATGTGTATCTTAAGTGAACGCACAAATTTATTGTGGGGAAGCGAGAGGCTCCAAGAGAAAGCCCCTCCAGGCAGTGAAACCACCTAATCACAATCTTTTTAAATTCTATTCAAATTAGGTAAATAATATAGTGAATGCTCTATAGGAAGGTTCTGATATAGGTTATGAGAATATTTTTATACCATTTTAATTAGACTAAGAAAGTTCCAAGTATAGTCTGATTGGATCAAACATTCATTACTCACTGTAGACTCCTACGCCAATACAGGTTTAGAAACTAGTGCATTTTCGCTGCATAGGCTTTATTCTCTTTATTGAAATACAGATTAATGTATCAATCTTCTTATGCGTTATAACACTCTAAAGTACAGATATCCACCGGAACTCATGTATACCGAAAAGGACTGTTTATAAATTTTAATTACGAAAAACCTATATAAAGTGATCACTACGGTGGTGCACCGGCCCTGATGTTAAGCCGAATGCACCAAATAGTGCAGTACTAGTCCATAAATACAAGGTCAACGTTGAAAATTAACAATTAAACTGAATTAACTTTAGATATACCCTAGCTAATCAAACCTTCTATTTTTAATGTTCAGAGAGGGTTTAATAAGGGTAACCCAACTCGATTCTCTGGCTCGTCGATAATTTTCATTTAGGTAATTGCCTTCGAATGGAACAATAAAAACATCTCTAATAGAGTGTCCATCTTCACTGAAGTGTCTGCCGATAGTTGTAGCATGAATTACTTTAATTTGTGAACTATGGCGAAAAACTCTTTTTCTTACCGGTGTTCCTGTTTCACCCACATATTACTCAAAGCATTTCTCGCATTTAATATAATAGCACACATTACTAGAATCACAACAGAGTTGTTGTTTAATGCAAATGTCTATCCCAAGTAGGGTCTTAAAGCTAAATGTATTCCTACTCAACCTGCAGAATCGGCAAGACTTTCTGGAACATATGTTAAAACCTAATAGATTATCGGCTTTAGGAATCAGTTTCTATAATGGACCAAGGTAATTTGACTGAATTAGAGTGCGACATAGATTCTGAGGGCACTTAAATGTAAATGTATATTTAGACCAATCTGTTTTGTGATTAGAAAACTGACGGAAAACTGATTTAATTGATCTAAGTTGTTTATTGAATGTTCAAGCGATAATCTTTCTATCTACCGCATTCGGCTTTTCAGATTGTTTAGGTTCCAAAAGTGTTAGTCGGTCAAGTCTTTCTACTAACTGGACTTTCGAATGCCAGTAATAGTCGAATGACCACGTTTCCTCAATTTGTGGACGATATTAGCATATTCACGACCTATCCACGGAGTGTCATGCAATGCGCGTATGCACGTCCGTCACAGTAATATCGAATGACCTTCAATGACTTTGAATCAAGGATAATGCTCACGCCTCCCTTCGGTCGACGTTCGCTACACGACTATCGACCTTATGTTATGGAATATGTGTATGTACATCCGTCACGCTATGTTCCAGTGTCTACGTGTATATACATCGGTCACACCGTCCTCATATGTCTGTGTGTCAGTCACACTGCCACATGATTATGTGTATGTACGTCCGTCACACTCATGTGTTTTAGCGGTAGACACCGCCATCTATCACTCTGCTTATCTTTTGGATAATACTGACCAATAGTAGTTCTGTCCGGACGGACAGACTAACACGCATTTAAAGGTTGTAAGACTCCGGTGGAGAGAATATATAATGAATTAATAATCGTTTTTCAATGTTCAGGAAAAACTGACGTCTTAGGTGACTCAAAAACTAGTTTGATAATTGGTTTCAAGATAGAAGAAAGCATATTTTTTAACATACTACAGAGATGGGCAACTCCAGCTGAGTTTGACTCCAAATCAACTTCAGCTCCACTTAAAGAAATTCAACGCCAACTACACGGATCAAGAGTGTAAAACAAAACCATGATTCAAGAACTTCCAAGATCATGGTTACAAGAAGTTTCACTGGGGGACTGAAATCAAGTCATAGGTCAAGGTAAATTAATTAGGACTTGGCTTGAGTCGAAAAATTACTTGCTTGCCACCTTTGGACAAAAGAAACCGACATGGCGATCTATTTTGTAGTAGGATTTGAAATCCAAAATTGATGAATCATCATTGACATGTAACACATGTAACCGAGATCATGGGTAGTCTAGACATTAGCTTAAATAATAACGCAAACCCGATCTCTCTGTCACCTTACAAAGCTGATAAATTTTAATTTTACTGAAACTGGTGCCTCATGCTCAAAGCGCTATTTTAGCCTCGGAAGCCGTTTTGAAAACTTCACAGCTAAGTAACCATATATTATTGTTGCAATCGGCAAACCCCATGTTACTCAGACATGCTTTCTCTTTTATATGAGATCGACAAAGTCGAAATTTTTTTCCATCCTTAATACCTTTCTATGGCAATAGATAGACTTACTTGCAAGAACTGTTATACAAGGTATTGGAACTGTGGGCACCCAGGGCAGCAGCGTTAGAATGAGTCATGACACAACATTTCGTATTCATCAACAGCTTCTCCTTTCGACCAATTTATAGAAGTATTTATGAATACCAGATTCGTGTTCAGCATCACAAATTACGTATAACCATGTGTGTTTCAAGCGAAAAGCGAGAAGACAGTTAGGGGTTCCCTCGTAAGTTGTCGTTTGTGTCCATATGAACGGTTTTAGTTGCAAGCACCTTTTTTGTGACAAATAAACAACAACAACAGAAAAAAAACATCAGGGCTTCGGTATATTTAATAAAAAAAAGAAACCAGTTTTCATATCAAATTCGATTTGAAGTGATAAAAGATCTTGAGAAACAAAGTGCGTCAGTCCTTGAATAGGATACCCAAAGTTCGTTAATGATCCTGTGTATGATTATGTTTATGATCGTTTGGATCACGTTTATGATCATGTTTATGATCGTCTGCCTTGCAATCCGCTTTACAGGCATGTTCAACTTCTTTTTGTTTATGTTTTTCAGCTTCAAATGCAGCATCCAAACGTTCCGATGGTTTAACATTTGGATCATTCGCTATTGCAGCTTTTTCTTCAGCCTTATGACCATGATGAGCTTCTTTGAATTTCTCTAGACCAGCTGACAGTGCGTCCATTTCTTACGTTAGAAAATTGATTTACTAAAATGAGAAACAGATTATAACTATGAGTTGCATATGCTAAAAAGAAGAAAAATTAGTCCTCTACACAGAACCGTTCAAGTGGTACCACTTCGGCGCTTTTCTGTCAATAATAGAGGGCGGTTACGCTTCTCTCTCATGCAAAGCTGTTCATGCAGTGAATACAACTCTGAAATGGGTGATGATTTGAGGTAATAACAAGTTTTATTTTAAGCTATTTTCGTCTAATTTTGACCTTCACAGGAGAAACAGACGGAGCAGCTTAGCCTACACCGAAAAGAATACAGTCAAATGTATTATAATCTGGTTAAGTCAGATATCTGGGGCAACAGTCGCTCAAACGATTGAGGAACGCAGACCAGGACGCGGAAATTCTTTCAAAACTTTATCAGGACCGACAACCGAGACTAAGCTTTTACAAATTGTTTCGAAGACACACGGAAAAAATAAATTACTAACCTTATCTAAAAACTTAACTCCAAAAAAGAATCACATTTTACAACGAAAATGTCCTTTTAAACCTGTAAAACGAAACATTTTCTTACCTCGGGAATGAGGCCGAGACAAAAGAGCTTGATCCCACCTACAGATATCTGGTCTTGATCGCAATACATCTTTTAGAGAAGAACGAAACTAATAAAAAAACATCTGGTTTTTTTACTTGAACAATGTAGTTAGCGCTAAAAAATTGTATCAGACATGTTTTTTTATTTGAAAATATTAAAAAAGCAAGGTGCCCGCAAATCAAAAATGCAGCATTATCGTAACTTTCGGTCGAAAGCTACATAGTCGGATAGCCCTAACTGAGCTGATTCCGAATATCACCTTTTGATTCGAATTCGATCAAGTTTTCGGGG